CATGTCCTGAAATATATTACAGGACCGTCCCTTCTGTTTTCTGTGATTCACCTTTGTACTGCTTGCTACAAAACTGGGACAGGGACAGTGAAAAGGGTTATATAGGGCCATGCCTACAGCTTTTTGTTGCCAGTGTCCAATCACCTGAAGATTCCTACGAGTGCCTCAACTTCATTTTGTTGATTGGATCCGGCAGATATTCACGTTGAGCAACCGCGGTTCTTACGGAGTATTGGGTCTGAGAAGGTATGAGCAGCTTTATTTTTGCATTGCATGCTTATTTACTCCTTGTATCCTGTGATGTATTCCAAGAAACAGATTTTACAGGTAAACCAAAAAATGCTTTCTTGGAGTTTGACTTTATTTATTTCAAAAGTGACCCATGGCAAGTGCACCCAAATACAAATCAAAGAAAATGCCATCATTGTCCTCTTGCCAGTATTAACATACACTCATAACACTTAGAAATATGCCATGCAGCAGCCTGTACAAAGCAAATCTTTTAAAATTGAAGTACTGTATTTAAGTTCAGTTAAATTAAAGATTTGTGTGGATAATTAGGTTTTCAGATTCAAACAAAACAAATATCTACAATGCAATTACTTACAGAATATTATCACAAAGTAAATAATACTTTAGATTATTAATGCATTTTAATATGTCCATTAAATCATTATCTGTTGATGCCCCATACGTTCTGCTTAGTTATCTGAGTTTTCTAATGTTTTTGTATCAGTGTACTTTACATTATGCCTGGAAACAGCAATGATGTAATAGCTCTGTAATAGATGCAAGAGGAGGGCACCAAGCAACTATGGTTCTCTGTGAATAAATTAGTACGAAGCAGAATGGTCTTCAGTTAATAAATGCTATTATGCTGGACAAGATTGCTATGCAACCTTGGCATCCACACTTTAATGAACACACAATATGATGTGTGCAGAGGTCTTAAAGTGACATTAAACCCTCAGATTTTTTAACATAAACCAATACTGTAATGTGTGCCTTACTGTAATCCATGGTTGTTTCCCTTCTCTTGGCTGCTTTTCCTTTTAAATCCTCATGTCTTCTCATGCTTGGGGAGAACTTCCCTTTTCAGCTCAGGGCCTCTTCCTGTAGTGCTGGCTCAGGTTTCAAGCCTATACAAACGTATACACAGACACAGTGGGGTTGATTTACTAACCTTTTAAACACACCACGAACGTGTATACACCTCTGTAGTGTGTTCCCTCCCAGCATGATCTATGGGAGGAATCGAAACACCTTTGTAGTGTGTACACACCCAGCAGGTGTGTTGTTCAAAGCCCTGCAATGAATTGCAAGGTAATGAGGTGTAAATTAGCTCTATGTTATGTTGCTTGCGTTGATGAATGCAGGCATGTAAATGCTAGAGCTAACCATTTTTGTCTAAACTGTGAAGCAGCATTATATATGCATCATGTGCATGATTTTTCCATATATGGCATTAGTGGAAATATGCTTTTAGAGACTTTTTGGTTGATAAATACGTTTTGCTGTGTGAAAATCACACACACCTGGTGTGTGTGTGTGTTTAGGTTAGTAAATCAACCCCAGTGGCTCACAAATATATTAATAAATAGTAGTTGCAGTCAATGACAGATGGGAACAGTGATATGGTATATCTATTTTTAGAAAAACAAAGAAAACTACTGAACCTTCTGGGAAGTACTGAACATTTAACTGTTGCCTGTTGGGCAACCTGGACTCTTACCAAGAGAAACGACCCGTGTAACTAAGTCAGAGTGCCAATGGATTATTGAAGTTACTCATTTTGTTTCCTAACACGCAGGGCCAGATCTTCTTCCCTGAAGAATGTAGATCTACAACCTTTCCCACCCAAAGCATCACCTAGGTGGCTAGGACAACATCCTCCAATTCACATTCAATGTATATGTCCCTTTGATGCTGATTGTGCAACACTTGGACCCCAGTAGCCAGTAATGGCAGTGATCTTGAGCAGTCATGTATAACATGTCCCCACTCTCTAACTCTCTAACTTTCTCTTGTTGATTGTCCCCTACCACACGAGTAGCATGTAGTATTTCCACAAGCTCTGACAATGTTCTGTAGCACTGCCGAATATTATGTGTCAGGGTGTCAGGGGCTGCCCTTGAGACCCCCTATATCTAGAAAGCTTGCCATCATTGGTGTATTTAGCTGTTTCCTGGAGTTCAGCTTTAAGCTGGCTGTGTTTGTAATAACTTTTTTGTTAGTCACCATTTTTATATGTAGTTGAATGACAAACATACATTTTCCACTTAACTGCTTCCTAATTCAGTCAGTGTCTTATCTTTAATTACACCAGTGTTTTGCTTCATTTGCAGCTTTTTATTGTCCAACACGTCTACACGGTTATATGCTATTGTTTTGAACTATGTTTATCTTATAGGAAGAGTCTTCGGTATCAGAGAACCGGTATTCACAGAAAACCAAACCTTATCTGTACTCAAACAATGATTAGTATTTTTTATTGCTTCAACTTTATGAATTCACACTTTAGTGTATTTTTACATGACAGTAGAGTGATATTACTGATTTATTATGTTATTAATAAGGACTGGTATTTTAGCTATTGTCATTGTATGACACAACATTAGATAGTTGTGTTAAAAAGCCTAGAGATGTGAATTCACTACCCAAAAGACCCAAAAATCACTTATCTTCTTTTTAAAATATTTCCTGCCTGAGCCTGAAATTATTTTCTGTTTTATGTATTTCTAAAATTAGCAGCTTCAGTGTGTGAATCTGGTCTCTGAGGTGACTTTTTTTTATTGGGTGATATTGGTGCTTTGTAAATGTACCTGTGTCTGAGGGAGGATGAAAGTTGTGACAAGTGCTGTGAGAATTTTTGACCCTGCACTCATTGTTGATGATGACTTTACCAATGAATACATTTTACCTTACAAGGTCTGTGATACATGATGCATATCATGAACTGCATCAATTAATTTATTCGGCAGCCTAAAATAGCCATGTGTTACCAGCCCCAGTGAAATTCAAGGTTGGCCTTTAATTTTTTATTAACACCCCCTGTCAGCAGGTAGGCAGAAACATTTCAGGTATTTCCCACATATCTGCCTCCCCTAGCTTAGGAGATGTTCTGTCAGTCGTCTGACATGTTACTCACAAGCATATTAAATTGCTTACTACAAGGATAGAGACACAGAGAAATAAGATTAACAAAGAAGTTTAAATAGCAAAACCAAATGTCCAAGGACGATTGCATTCATAAAATAGCCTTGGCTGTGTTATTTTACTACTGATAAGGATGAAATACCAATGCTGAGGAAAGAATATCAAACAAGTATCAAAGACATAAAGACTGTTGAACAAAGGAAAAAACATTTTCCAAAAACTAATGCTGTCTAAATATCACTGTTTGGTGAAAAAAACCTTCTGTCTATATACACAATTTTAGCATCATACAATATGTTTTTATGTTTTTTATGTACAGTGACAATTGCTGTTTTAAAATGTACACTGGTAAACTAGGCGAAATTTTTTTTGTGCTTTGGTGTGTTTTTTTTCGTATATTGCATAGAAAATAAAATAAACAAGGCAATACTGTCTTGCAAACATTGACAATATTGCCAGGATAGCCTTGTTTGTCCTAATTTAAAGATTGTCAGATTGTAGGGCGTTCAAATGGTAGCTCTGTTTATAGAACACATATCTTGTTGTGTGCATTGGTACATTTCTGGATATCATTTTCAAAATAATTAAATATGTTTGGGGACAACAGGGGTGAAACCTGGATGAAAGAATGTTTTCATTGATGTATTTGTTAGTGTTATCTGTCAAGTCAGCTCTGTCTATGGTAGAGATTAGTGAATATTATCGAAAATATAAAGGTGAATCACCTGTGTGACTTGCAGTATTGATCAGACTGTGATATGTGATTATTAAACTTTTTACTTTTGTATGTGCATTTTTGATTTAATTAAAAAGGTGATGTTTGGCACAGTATGGTACTCTTTTATGTTTGCTACAGTTTTTTTCATACAGTCTGCAAGTATACAGATATCACAAGGATTAGCAGACAGCCAACTGTTGACACCAGTGAGTGACCTTTGAACTTTTTTGATGAGATGAGTGAATAATAGAAAATCAGAGTGGTGCAGACCACATCATTGGTTCCTTCAGGCAAATATTTGATTTGAAAGTTGAAGTGCTTTTTCATTAAGCTGAGTACTTAGTTGGGTTCTTCAAAGCATGAAGTGTTTGCTCCAAGGTATCTCAATTTCCTCCTCTCGTGGATGACATCGGTCACCCAGCATGGTTCAATCAGAATTTTACTTTTAGCATCTCAGAAGGACAACTAACGTCAGAGTCAAGGTATATTTTCTTAAGCCATTTTCCTAAGCTATCTAAACTATCCACATAAGGAAGTATAATAATTTCTTGTTAGGGCAGCAATGTCAAATGGCAGGGGATTTTTAGATTGTAAGCCCTCACGGGCAGGGCCCTCCTTACCATCTTGTCTTGAATTGTATTGTAATCATAATGTCTACCCTATCTTGTAAAGCGCTGCGCAAACTGTTGGCGCTATATAAATCCTGTATAATATAATATATTATACATAAAATATAATCCTGTATAATATAATATAAATAGTAATAATTTTCTGTGTCATTAGGGGTGGGATCACTATGGAATCCCACCAGATGATCCAGGGGGCAGGAGCTCACACTACAGCTTCCTGTATGAAGGGGACATAGCCTCTCTTTTGTACTGATAAAATGTTTTAACTTGTTCCTTGGACTACTTTGCCTGTTCACTCCAGTAAATTGGATTCTTTAATTAAATAAAACCCCACTTCCTGGTCATCCCCTGCTTCACAGTGATTGCTGGCTTGCATAAATTGATTTCTAATTCCTTTCCTGTAGGACCTAAGTTTAAACATATATAGTTATACTCACAGGGACTGCCTAATTACAAAGTTTTTTTATTGCAACTTTTACTTGAGCGTTTTTTAGAGTTTAGATGAATGGGCTTAGAAGAGGTGTCACAATTCCAGTCATGAATGCTGACAGTTTACTGATGTCTATGGCAGCCAGTGTAATGCCCCTCATACACAGGAAGAGTGAACTCCCATAAATTATAACTACAACAAGGAGATGAGAGACACACGTAGAGGAAGACTTCCACCGTCTACCCACCTTGGAGGTCTTAATTATAGCTAATATTATACAACCATATGAAATCATTATGCAAACCAGAGAACCAAACACAATCACAAAAGAGCAGCATATGTTAACAATGTGAATAATCCTGGTGTCATAGCAGGCAAGTTTTAGAAGATGTTCTGCATCACAGAAGAAGTGATCAATGACATTAGACCCACAGAAACAAAGGTTAATTATTAGAAAAGTTGGGATAATGGTATCAGCAAATCCAGCTAGCCAACAACCCACAGTCAAATACAAGCAGAAATCGGAGGTCATTACTGTTGTATAGCGCAAAGGGTGGCATACAGCTGTGTACCTGTCAAAAGCCATAACAGCAAGGAGAAGTAGTTCCACTGAACCCAGTAAAAAGTAGAAATAGCATTGAGTTAGACAACCCTGGAAGGAAATCGATCGATTTTCACTCGCTAGGATGGTGAGAAATTTTGGTATAATGGAAGAAGTAAAACAGATGTCCAGGATGGAAAGGTTGACCAAAAAATAATACATGGGTGTATGGAGAGAGTGGCTCTTCCACACGGTTAAAAGGATAAGGAAGTTTCCAGACAAAGTGACAATGTGAATAATAAGAAGAAATGAAAAGAAAAGAGCCCTCATTACTAAAGTCATTGGAAATGCTGCCAGCATAAAGTCAATAACACAGCTTCTGTTTTCCATGAAGATCTGATCTTCATGGCAAAGATTCAAGGCCAAAACATCGTGCCCATTACTGTAGCCTTATAAGGATGTTTATGTAGTGTGAGGTTCATAAAGGTCCCAGTCTGGACCATGTTTTCATTTCTTCCTAAATTATTCTCTGTATTATAGTTTCAATTTTTTTTAAATTTTGAAAATATTTGTGCATTTTTACATTTAGGGGAGTTAAACATACTTAAACAAGCTTGCATTGCATTAAAAGTAATGATCACATTATTTAGGGTAGTGAAAAATGTTTTTAGTTGTAATAAAATATAATATGATAATATGTTCACACTAGATTGTTCAATAGATATATCTTAAATATCTAGCTATACCCCCATTGACTGATGATAACTATAGATGATGGATATAAGCATGTTATCAAATAGTAATACAATATTTAGAATCTGGCTATTATCCCCTACTATGAACCTGATAATCATTTATATTTAAATTACAATTATGCAAAATCCTATTTACTTATATGCAATCTAAATGTTGTTAGCTATCATTTTTTCATGTGTAGTTGGTCTGTCTATTGCTACCGATTCAGTCAATGCAGGTTGAGTTTTACTTATATTCTCCTGGAGACTGCACCATGATGTACATAATAAATATAAATGGATATGCAACTCACTGCAGAACCACTTAAAAATAATGATTTACCCTGTGGTGTCTTGTGTGGTTAATAATGCATTCATTTTAACTCCGACCTAAGGGATGTAGTCTGATGGGACATCTTTTTTTAAATACATTACACAAATGTAAAAATTACAATAATTTTACTATATCATGGTCACTAATTGGATGAATACATTGATTTATTTTTAAGCAGGTACTACTTACTTTAGACATTTGCAGACTCCCAACTGTCCCTCATTTAGAAGAACTGTCCCTCATTTGGAACGAAATACATCTGTCCCACTTTCCTTCTGGGAGGTCCTTTGTTTGGTCTGATGATTAGACTTCTATATAAAAAGGAATTTATTAACTACCATAAGTGATACTACACTAACATTTTCATCTACCTTCTAAATGATTGCATTTGTTATTTTGAAAAGCCAGTATAAAGGAAATGTAGGGAAGTATAAAGGAAAAGACATTTGTAGGTTTAACCAATAATTTTTGTTTATTAATTCTTTATGCTAATACAACTGGAGGAATGGCAGACATGTGTCCTGTGCCTGCATACTTTGCATTAAAAGGTTTTCCTCTTTCTCTTCTTAGAATATTGGGTGGTATGCTTTTGTCCTTTTAGCAGCCTTAGGCCCCCATGATATCTTATAAACATTTGTTTTGCCTCAGTTTTAATGAAAAACAATCAAAAGATCTTGCTAATGACTGCTGAGCCTGAACTTCCACAACAAACTCTTAAGAAATATTTTGTTTAAATGTGTGTTAGTGCCTAGCTACAAGTATTTTTAGATGTTTTACATTGAAGCTGACCACACACTGCCTGAATTTCATCCATTTTCTGCTGAATAGGCTAAAATTCAAGCCCTGGCTGGTCATAGTGACACCCCCACTCAACAGCAGTCAGTTCGAATATTCTCAGCCAAACTGCTGGAGCAGCAGCAGCTGAATACAATAGCTGGGCAAGTGTATATTTTTCTGCTAAAACAGAATTAATATGCTGAAGGCAATTTACAATGCTATACAATTTCTTGTAGGCTTCATTGCCTGAACCACATTGCCATTTAGCTTTAAAGGTCAAAAAGACAAGTTAATATGTATTCACCCTTGACCTCATCTAATCAGAGTTCATATGGTTTAGGTGCTGTCGGTGACTCCTGCCCGCAGCCAAACCTGGCTGATGCATAGTAAAGAAGGAATTTAAAGCCTCACCATGGCTCCTCCTTTCACTGACTGGACTATCCATCCACATTGGCCATGAAAGGGGACCTTGTTAGTTTCTGGAAAGGAGGTTAGGGGGTTTCTCCACAGCATCTTTTGCAGATGGCTAATTTTTTTTCTCCATCTGTGATGGTCTGATGAGCTTTGACATTTTCCCCTTGCATTGTGGATCCAAAAAGGGTGGCCAATCAGTAGTAGTCCCTCTCCTTGATGGGCCCAAATCCTAGGGACCTTGTGCAGGCACTGCAGCATGAATGAGCCCATTTGCCACAAATTTCCAAAGACAGGGAATTACAAATCCTCAATGTCAATGTGGACAACGGTGTCCTCCATGATCTCACCCCACCCACATACAACTGCAGGGATTTGGATTTGGTACTTTGGTGCACTTCACAATGTGGTAATTTGGTGCACCAAACTGAACCATGCTAGTATGTGGTGATGTGCTGCTAACAAAGGCAGCTTAGCCACCAGCAAGTTCACGCTGCTGGCGCTGAAGACAAAAAATAAAAGACCCTAGACAAATTATACAGAAATAAAATATAACTCACCAACTCCCATTTGCCAACCCTAAAACACTATAATCCCATACCCTTTCTTTTTCTTTTACTGTTTAAAAAAAAAAAAATCAAAAATAGATTTTTATTTGGTTTTGTATAAAAACCAAGCACGGGTAGTGCCACGACAGAACGATAAGAGCACAAATGAGCACTCAGTAGTGCTAAACAAAAGGTGATGCAATAACAATAAAAAATAAACAACAACACAGTAGGTCTTCGCTTTGTATTAGTCATACTCGAATTGAAGAAGAAAGAGCGGAAAGAGAATAGAGAAAAAGACAGAAGAGGCAAGAGCAGAAATAAGGAGAGGTAAAGATTCCCTGCTTGTTCTGAGAGGTAAAGTCACACATCATTATGCCTTGGGGAGTACACCATTTCCACTTTTTGTGGAATGAGGTTAAGGTACCACTTTTGATCGCAAGCAGTCTCTCGAAATCATAGTGTAGCTTTAGGGTTTGGTAAGTTTCACTAACAGAAAAACTAACGAGCTTCTCCGGTGCCTAACAATTGTAAGTTGAGCTGCCAGCTATGTGTGAACAACCAGTGCACGAAAAGGAGTGGGGAAGCAATCGATGCCTATGAGTAGGAGTCCAAGCGCTGGATTAGGGGTAGTAAGGCACCCTGTTACCGCTGATAACCACTGAAAAATGCCATTCCAGTAACTCGTCAAAGATTTACATCTCCATAGGATATGGAGAAGGGTACCAATCTGCCTGCAGTCCCTCCAGCACAACGCTGAGTTGGCCGGAGTGAATTTCGCTAGGCGATATGGTGTGAGGTACCATCGTAGAGATATTTTATGGTAGAGTTCCCATAAATCGGCACTTTTCGTAGCGAAGTAAATGGAGCCACAGGCTGCCTCCCATTTCTCTGAGGGGAAGGTCTCTCCCAGCTCTTTCTCCCAAGCCAGAAAAACTGGCAGTTTAGTGAAGGTTCTCTTTTGTTGGAGAAAATTATAAAAAAGCGAAATACCCCCCTTACGGGACGGCGTGGATGAGAGATGTTTCCAAATCTGTGCAGGCACCTGAGGCCATGCTGACAGAAGGGAGGGCAGAGCGTGTGAAATTTGTATGTACCTATAGTATTCTCGCTCCGTTAACTCATATCGAGAGAGAAGGTGTGGGAAAGGTTGCATACGGAGGTCTTGTAGCAGGTCCTGGACCAATCTGATGCCCCGTTTGGACCACCGTTCGTGTGGGAAGTCTGGGATAAGGAGTGCTAGAGCTGAGAGTGGGATTGGAGGAGTGACTAGCTGGTCAGAGGGGGATCCGGTGTGCATGGATGTCGGCCAGGCCTGTATAGTGGACTGGATGGGAAGGGAGTACTGGGTCAATGAGGTAGAAGTGGAAGTGTTTAGAAAGGCGAGGTAGTATAGGGAGACTCCCTGGGCCAATTCACTTTCCAAGAAGGGGCCAGAGTTTGTCTCCCAAGGGGATTATCCAGGATCGGAGCTGCGACAGCATAGCAGCCAGATAATAGTCCTTGAGATCAGGGTACCCAGTGCCGCCCACCCCAGGATTTTTAATAAGAGAGGTGCGGGAGCACCTGGGTTTTTTGTTGTGCCAAAGAAATTTTGAGAAAGCAGTCTGTAAGGATTTGAAATATCCAGTAGGGATGGGGATAACTACAGTCCAAAATAAGTACAGGAGCTTGGGGAGAATAAGCATTTTAAAGGCTGCTAGTCCAGCAGACCATGACAGGAAACCTTTTCCCAGTGTTTGCAGCTCAGATGGGAACCGTTCTAGAAATGGTCTAAAATTACACTGAAAGAGGCGGTTCGTCGCTTCAGGTATGTTAGTTCCCAAATATGGAATACTACCGTTCGTCCACACAAAGGGATAATCAGCTTGTAAGGCACTATGAGAAGTCCAGGTTAATACACAAAGCATTACATTTGCCAACATTAAGCTTGTAGTAGGACACATTGCTAAAAGTGGTTAGGATCTGCATTGTCGTCTGCAGGGAGGACTCTGGAGCCGTGAGGGTCAGTATGACATCATCAGCAAATAATGTGATCTTCTGTGGAGGAAGGGTAGGATGGACACTGATCCCCTGAACAGTAGGGTCAGCCCTTAGGGATGCAGTGAGGGGCTCTATCAGTAGGTTAAATATCAAGGGAGACAAGGGGCATCCCTGCCTTGTACTATTGGTAATAGTGAATGGCGAGGATAATCCACATGAGGTGAACACCTGTGTAGAGGGAGCACAGGATAGCGCCATGATCATATCAGAGATTCGTCTATCAAATCCAAATTTCAGGAGAATACCTCGGAGATGGGACCAGTTGACTCTGTCAAACACCTTCTCTACGTCCAAAGCCAGGAACAAAGAAGGCGTACGAGAGCGCTCGACATGAGCTAATAAGTTTATAACCCGTCTGGTAGCATCTGGGGCCTCTCGACCAGTTGTGAATCCCTTTTGGTCAGGGTGAAGCAAGGTCGGCATAATGTCATTAAGACGATGGGCTATTATTTGGCATAGATTTTAACGTCCGAATTAAGAAGGGAAATTGGCCGAAAGTTCTGGGGTTGTTCTGGAGTCTTCCTTGGTTTAGGGATTGTAACAATCAAGGCACGAACCATTTCAGCAGGGAAAGAGGCAGAGGCGGCAGCGTAAACCTTAAGGAGGTATGGGCTGAGTATAGAGGCAAACAATTTATAATATTCATTAGAATACCCGTCAGGATCAGGGGATTTGTTGTTGGGCATGGATTTTATAATTTTGTCCAGCTCCGCACCAGTGAATGGGGAGTGGAGCCTATCTAGTTGGGAAGGAGTCAACGAAGGTAAGTGGATTGACCGTAGGAACTCATCTATTTCAGGACGAGTTTGGTGGGACTTTTCCTCATCTTGCAGGTTGTACAGGGTTTTTTAATAAGCACAGAAAGCTTCAGCTATGTCCTGGGGGGTGATATAATTTGTGGTTGTCAGAAGAGCGGAGTATATAAGAAATCTTAGTGCGGGTCTTTTGGGCTTTTAGGCTACAAGCCAGGAGTGACTTTATTGCCACTAACATAGAAGTTAGATCTGATATTCATAGAGTGTTTACAGTGTTGTTCCATGAGGAGCTTCCTAAGGTCTAAAGGAAGTTGGGACAGAGTCGAGGAGCGGGTGGGGCTGGGTTGCAATTTGTTCTCAGCCTCAAGTTTGCGTATTTCAGAAATGAGCTGGTCTAGAGCCTGTGACCTCTGCCTCTTGAACCTAGAGCTGTGTTGGATCAGTAAACCCCTAATATATGCCTTATGGGCGTTCCATAGCACAAAGGGGTCCTCTACGGAGGATGCATTAAACTCAGAAAACTCTAACAAACTATTATTAATTGATTTCACTGTTTCAGCCTGTTGTAAAAGAAACACATTGTTACGCCAGACAAATGAGTTAGAGGTAGGATGGCTGGAAGATATCAACATCGAGACAGGAGCATGGTCAGTCCAAGTGATATCATGAATTAAAGTGTCTCGTATCCAAGGCAACAGTGTGCGGTCTACATGGAACAGTTCTATCCTGGAGTATGAATTATGTGGAGGGGAAAAGAATGTGTAGTCCCGTTCGCTGGCAGGTTGGCAGCTCCAGACATCCAACAGGCCATTGCTATTGATGGTAGGTTGGAGGGACGGCAGCTTCCGCTGCGACAAGGAGGTAGAATCCATAGACCTGTCCAGGATCAAGTTAAAGTCACCACAAACGATCAGTGCCCCTCTTTGAACTTTCCTTGCCTTTTTAAGCAGTCGGTTAACAAAGCGTGTTTGCAGAATATTAGGTGCGTAAAGGTTCACGGTGGTGTAAATTGTGGAGTTGATAGAGCATACTAGAATGATATAACGACCCAGTGGGTCAATATGCACCTCAGATTGTTAAAAGGACACCGTGGGGGTGATTTACTAACCTAAACACACACACACACCAGGTGTGTGTGATTTTCACACAGCAAAACGTATTTATCAACCAAAAAGTCTCTAAAAGCATATTTCCACTAATGCCATATATGGAAAAATCATGCACATGATGCATATATAATGCTGCTTCACAGTTTAGACAAAAATGGTTAGCTCATGCATTTACATTCCTTGCATTCATCAACGCAAGCAACACAACATAGAGCTAATTTACCCAACATCACCTTGGAATTCCTTCAGGGCTTTGCACAACACACCTGCTGGGTGTGTACACATTACAAAGGTGTTTAGATTCCACCCATAGATCATGCTGGGAGGGAACACACTGCAGAGGTGTATACACGTTCGTGGTGTGTTTATAAGGTTAGTAAATCAACCCCCGTGTCTCTGATGGCCACCAGGACACCGTTGGATTTGGAAGGAGCATTAGCCGTGATGATAGTAGGGAAGCACCTATGGGAGCACTGTGGTGGAGCAGAGCTGCAGAAGTGGGTCCTCCTGGTAGCACACTAAATCTGCGTGGTGTTTGATAGCTTCTAGCCATAGTGAGCGTCTCTTAGCAGGGTGGTTAAAACCCTTAGGATTAAGAGGGAGGAACTGGACTGCCATGGGTAGGACAGGAGTAGCATGTGTAAGTGCGTGTACTGTACTCATGGAGCCACACCAGGGCATCAGGCCATAGGTGAGAGGCGGCCACAGTGTTGAAGTCAGGGTTCCGGATGAGATCTAGGCGGTAGGTTGGTTCACCATGTAGGAGTGGGGAGTACCTCTTCCCATTGTGTGAGAAAAAAAAAAGAAGCAAAGACTGAAAAAAAGCAAACAAAGAAATATCAACAAAAATCAGTTGCCACTGCGTCCACCACCGCTGCTATATCCTCCACTGTTTGATCACTGGGCTGACTGTGATCATATAAAATATACCTACAACACAACATCGTACCTACACAACATTGGCATTTCTTGGGCATTAGAGACTTTGTATGTCAAAACATTCTACTCTCTAGCAGTTTTTCTATTTTTTAAGTTTACTACTGATTTAAGTTGAGTCCACTACTGATTTACTGATTTAAGTTGAGTCCACCTAGTCATCAGTAAAGTGTAGAGTTTGGATCACGTAAGGTTAAGTTGAATTTGAGGTTGCAAGGAGTCATTGCCCTTAATTAATGACTCCTAGTATTCCTTAATAGGTTCAATGGTAAAATGAGAGCTCCCAGCTTACAGCTACCTTTTCTTGTTCCCTGGCCAAGGTGGTAAATAGCTACCCCACACAATCAAAAGGTTGGAGGGGTTGTAGGTGCGCTGGAGTGTTTTACAATGCCCAGCAGAAACACCCTAAATGCCAAAATTTATATTTCCATAGGACAATGTTCCACGATCCAAAAACCAGCAGTTGTTATATAGATATAATTTAAATCATGTATATGTGGTGTCTTAAAAGCCTTCAAAACTTTATAATATAGTGAAGACTGTCTGAGTTGTATCTTCTTCTACAAATAAGGTAACTACTTTTTAGGAAGGTAACTTGATTACAGTAGAAAATAATGGAAAATTAATGAGGTTTGATGATGGGAAGTTAAGCTGTAGGTCAATATAGGTCAATACCCCATCTTCACAGTTGTGCATTGCCTTAACTATTTACAAAGTGACCATCTAAGACAGGGCCTCAGATGTCCTTTGAAGGTTTATGATGCCTCTGCATTCCTTCTAACCTGAGTGCTTTTTGACAAATGCGTCATGCAGACTACGCTAGGTAATTCCTACATGTGATGTTGAGCATCTGTGATTGAAAAACTGAAATCCAATAAATGAAAGGGGTGGGCCAGAGAAAGTAAGCCTGGGAAAAAAACGGCTAGATAATACTGGACATCCTTTAGCAAGGAAATGAGATGGACTTTATCTGACGCTATCTTCTAATGTACATTGTGAAAACATTACAGTGTGCGTGACATAATTTTCTGTACAGGAGAGAAGCACGCACAACTGCATAACACTGAAGGTTAGGCTGGAGTTTAGCTTTAATATCATGATACTTAATGGTCAACAATATAATGGGTGGTTTAATAGCAATCTGCAATAAACAATCTATGATTTTTATTTTGATGAAGAGGTTAATTCTATTGAAAACAGTAATCTTTTGTGCACTATACCTGTTTGTATTGTATTCACTTATCCCATGGGCACCATTAAAAGTTTACTTCCAGAATCCCATAGTGATTAAGGGAATAAGATTCTTCTTTCATATGCTACTTTTTTTTACACTCAGGGAGTTGTAATGAAATATTAACTCTCTATTGTTGCTTACTAATTGCAATCTGTATTGTTTTTTCACCAGTCCCTGTTGTGTGAATGCCTCAAAGTTTTGTAAAGGATTATGATAGAGTAGCAGCACCACAGTGCAACAAACTGAAGACCCTTACTAATCTTAACTACTACAGTTACAAAGGTTGGTGATCTGTACAGTTTGTGGACCTGGAACATGGCTCTATAGTTATTTATTTAGAGGTAGGCAAAAACCCCTAGAATATGTGGTATAAATTATTCTAACAAGTAAACAATTTTAAAAATACAACCAGAACTTTTTTAAGCAGTTTATAAGGTCACCTGGAACCAGTTCTTTTGGAAAACCATTACAGCTATTACATTAAATAAACATTCCATATGCATATGGTCAAACCTCTTTTCTTCTGTGTGCATAGTAAAATACCCTTAGAACAAATGTCGAACACAAGGCTCGCAGGCCAAATCCAGCCAGCCAGACCATTTCATGTGGCCCTCGCACCTCTCCTGCAGCTGCAGCACCCCCCTCGTCTCTGCCTCCACATGTCTCAGCAGTAGGTAGCAGAGAGGAGGAAAGAACACTTTGGATATACTAACTAGGGATATGTCGATAACGGTATTGGTATCAGTGCCGAAACTGGGCATTTTCATGAGTACTCGTACTCATGAAAATGCCCCAATACTAAGCGCCTATACCGGCAACTTAAATTTTTAAATCGACGTTGTAAACAGGCGCCGGGTCTCACAGGATGGCTGTCGAGGTGCTCCAGGCAGCCTTCCTGTGAATCCTGGCACCTCTTACCAGCGCTGGCAGCAAATCTCCTTCTTCCTGTGGATCCACACTGCCCGCACCCACCAAGACCGACTGGGACTCCTGGTGAGACCACACAGCCCCCGTAAGACCCTGCACAACCCAGTATAGACCCCGCATAGCCCACCTGAGTCCACATAGCCCACCTGAGAGTCCACACAGCCTATCATAGACGCTGCACAGCCACCTGAGAGCCCGCACAGTCTGCTATAGAACCTGCACAGCCACCTGAGAGTCTGTATGGCGCATCCTAGAACCTGCACAGAGTGCACACAGCCCATTATAGACCCTGCAAAGCCCACCATAGACCCAGCATAGCCCACCTGAGATTCCGCACAGCCCACCATAGAACCTGCACAGCCACCTGACAGTCTGCACTATTACATTAATTGCCATTAATTTTCTTAGACTTCTACTTTCAGAGCTAGTTTTTAAGTTTTTACTAAAACCAGTAATAATTCAATGCAGAGGCAATTATTTTATATGGCAAAGAATATATACATTTATATAGTCTTACAAATACAACCTGCCCTTTGAGGGCAGCCATAATGCGGATGACACCCCTGTGTTAGATGCTTCTCTTTGCCATTTTATGCTGTTAAATGGAAAGTCTATTTCTATATGGATATATATCTATATAGATATATATTTTTATTTTTATTTTTTTTGCAGTGTTTCCCTTCAAAAAAGACCCTGTCGCAAAAAAACCCTCAAAAAACAGGCACCCTGTTTCTGTTGTTTGTATTTTGGTGATATGTGAAATTCGAAAAAATTAATAAAGAAATATTTTGGGGGGAAAAAAACAGGCACCCTGTAGAGGAAGATGTACAATACTTACATCTTCCCAGGGCTGGCTTGTAATTTGTTTTTCTCTTGCAGAGCTATGAGTATTGGGGGTATCTGACCTTTGGTGTGTCTGGTACTTGGTCTGTGGTTCCTTTCCTCCATCCCTATGTCACTACATTAACATATACAGTATTTTGAATAGATTTGCAGATAAACCACTAGATGGGGTTCCATATTTGAATCAGCCTCCCTCAACCCTCCCTGTTTAAAGCAGAATAAATCATGATGAGGGTGGCCATCATTTGCAAGTGTGAACATTATACTTTTACGTTATGACATATTTATCTCTGGATGTGCTTTTCTCCAGTGATGTGAGCTTATTCTGGGCCCTGCGTCATATGCTTCGCCCATTCGGCAGGCACTGATGGTGTAATTACCATCAATGAGTGCTAGAGTTTCATGTGAATGAACTGGGATTGTACATTGTACTGTGCACATGCATATTTTATGATTAAAAAAAAAACATTGCTAGTGTAGCGTCCCCCTTCTCGGTCTGCGCTATCCCAGCACAGGATAACACTAACGGTGGCTTTGAAGGGGTGGTCTACAGTAAAATGAAATAACGGGTCTCCCTCTATTCCCTCTCTAAGAAACTTCTGCTGTGGATCCACAGCACATAAGCACACCTTGAGTACTAGTGTTGGTTGCTATGGGTTACAGCAGCTCCAAATTCTTCTTGTTTAGGGATAAAATTACTTGCTTTGCCTATCAGCACTTACCGTCCTATCTGATGATCAATTGAAGTGAGGTCCAGACTGTAGTCATGATCTTCAAAACTTTTCTTTCAGAACTTCAGGGAGAGAGATAGAGAGTTAGGATCATCCATAAATCTTGAACAGAGCAACACTGCATGTATCAAACAAGCAGAAAAATGATTAGCTTTTTCCTCCAATTCACTAATCTAGGATAACTTCTGAACACTGAACATAATCCTTTTCTTTTTTTCATCAACACCTGTACAACCAGACACAAATACCTAATTATGTCATGTGAAATCGCCTGTGTATCTTGTATTTGTGTTTAGAATATAGAGCACATGGAGTAGAACTTGTTCCCAAAGCTCCCATTGTTTGCAGCACATAACTACATACATGTGTGGTACATTGTATTGCACTAAATAAACACATTGTTAAAGTGCACCAAAGTACCACATCCTGAATCCCCCTATTGCCATAACTGCTAATAGAAAGGCAGAGATTCTGCGCCTGCAGCTAGTAAGGGGTAAGTAGGGTATGCATCTGCAAAAAAAAATAAAAAAAATTCCTAAACCCCATGATTCCCTCTTCAAAGTGAGGACCCCGTGGTCTTTTGATGTCCAGTCTGGACCAATGGCCTGAGCTTTAACAGTATACTCTAATTTATATTTCACAAAAACTTGCTAGGTCTGTGGAATGTGGCGTTTTGCTGTGAAACAATACACTGTAATTTTGATTTCTTGATTAAAACCTACTGGCCCCCCTCTGAATCTGTGGCCTGTTTTTTCTCATCCTAAAGACCCTTAAAAAAGAGCCAGAGAGGGTGCAGAGGAGCATAGAGATGCAGAAATCTTCATAATCTTAATATATCAGTTACCATCACAACTTAGAAATCAAATATCAACCCAGCCCAGGTCATGGAACAGAACAAAAAGGAATAAAACGCAAAATCCATCTTGACTCTACCCAACCGCAAAGAATATACAAAATTAAAAGGACCCCATCACAGCCATTCTTTGTAACACCAAATAAATAAGAAATAAGACAGCTCACATAGTTGTTCTCATTGAATCCTATGACCTGACATGCATTCCAGAAACATATCTAGATATAAATGGGTGACCAAGGAAGTATAGGGGTGACATGAGATGCTCTACTGCCACACATGATGCTCTTGAGCTCTTGAATCACTGGATGACAGAGGAATCTCAGAGAGTCACCAAGGAGACAGGGTCGCTGTAGACACAGTGGTCGTGGGAGACAAAGCGGTGCTGGCGTCACAGTCCCCAGAAATACAGGAATGCAAGGTTCACTGAAGTACAAGAGAGCAGAGATCTTTGGAGGCAATTAATTGCGTGTCACTAAAGACAATGAAGTGTAGGGAACACTGTAAACCAAGGGTACACTGGAACTCAAGGATGATGGAAATCAGGGACACTTGGAACTTAGGGACACTTCGAACATGGAAACACTCAAATGCAATAACATTGAAATGGGGGCCTGCGGCTAGGGACTGAATCTATTGCTCCAGCACAGTTAAATAGAGAGGTAGATTGCCAGGCAGTGTAGGGATTGTCTGATTGATGTGGACACATTCTATTGGCTTTGTGCTCACAGTATCCAGAAGAGGAGTGACATCTTTGTAAGGGAACAGTAGGGGACTGTCCAGTGAAGGGCAATCTGCTGAGCTGGATTAATGGTTCCCTTGCACCCAGAAACGGCACCAACAAGGGACATGAAGGGGCGACTTAGGTGAAAATAACTTGCTTTATCAACTAAGGAAAACTAAAACCCCTGCAGAATAGATAGGTTAGAGGGGAGTGGGAGGGGGGTCTTTTTTTGCCCAGAGTATGGCTTTAATTTAACCCATAACCATGAAGAAATAATTAAATACAAGGATTAAAAATGCACATAGTTACATTGCAATATATAATTAACACCTTATTGTAAAACTTGCTTTAAATAGTTGTAGCATAACTTTTACCTTGTGTTTAAGGTATTGAAAAGTTATTTCTGATATTGTTGATAGCCAATTAAATTAGTTTGTGATGTTACTGTCTCATGGGAAACTGACATAAGGGATTAGGTGAAGAATAATGCAGAGAATATAAAAAGCCCAGTGAATTAATGGAATGTAAGATTCTCAAACAGAAGCATCAGTGGAATGTGCTAGAGGAAACAAAATATGGCATGTCTGTTTAACCACTGAATATACTGACATACAGGATAAATAAGGAAGTTTTGCCATCTTTTGTTTTTATTGTACTTGGATATAAAGGTAAGGTATGGGTTCACTTATATCTTGTTGATTAACATTTATCCATAGTTACTCTACACACCCCTAATCACAATGTCATATGTGCAATTGCAACTCATTATACATAATTAAATATTAGCAATTGATAATCTTGGTTGACATTCTTTTATGTACAGATGTTGCATTTAAGTTAATCCAGTGTTTTGCTTTTTTTAGGCTCAAGTTTACATTTAACATTATCACAATTCTTCCCAGAGATCTAAGCTCCTTTAGGTAGGTTCCACTTTATATTGCTGTAACTCATTGCTGCACCCTATAATAACATGCTGTTCTCTGGATTTTGCGGACTTCTTTGCAGAGATGTCAATGAATCTATATGTCATATCTCACATCAAAAGAAGTGCTATAATTTATATTTTTAATCAGCATATAATAATCACCATTAATAAACAAAACCCCAATAACTCATTTGCACTATTTGATATCAAATTCAATTTCTGTATTCTGTATGTGTTTTGTTGACAGCAGACTGAAAAACTGAAAATATTCACAATATATTTTAGTAACAGATGATGATATTTCAGGATAAATCTGTATGTACATAGATGATCCAGCTTTTGGTTTATTTACCAGAGGGAATTTTTCAGCTGCTACCAGGCAAAAGAGTAAAGAAGGATGGAAATAACACAGCACTTACTATTTTTATATACTTTTGTTACATTTGTCTCATGGGAAGAAGTCTGCCCTATAGCTCACGTATAGGCAACTGCATCCAATAGACAATTCCAGTTTACAGAGGAGTTATGGCAAAAAAAATACCAAGTGGTCCATTGAGTCTGAACTTTTTAAAAAAAAAGTTTAATTTCGTTTTTTGTGTTTTTTTTTTTAAACCTTTTTTTGCATGTTTAAATTATTTGACCTTTGAAAGTCAGCTCCAAGCATCCCCCACTCTCTTAGTAAAATAGGAGGTTAGTTTGTATCTTTCCTCCTGTTAGTTTGTGGTCATGCTCCTGTGTTCTTGATCTCAGCTGCATATGGAAAACATTGCCCCCTTGAACCTTATTAATACCTTTTAATGTATTTAAAGGTTTTAGTCATGTTTCACCTTTTTAAGTCTTGCTTTAGTAATTGTATAACATAGAACACATACATTATCAACCATCATCTCAAAATTATTATTTTTTATTTAATTGGGCTTTATTCGCGCAGTTAAGGAGTAACCATATCTGGGTAATTTGCACATCTTTTTCAGACCATATAAATTGGCATTTTTACCAGTGAGGTGTGTAACTGGTTGTAATAATTACTATGGGTGTGGATTTCAGTGTTTCTGAGCTCTTAACATGTTAAAATAACGTCATGATGTAATGAATGTTCATGTCTTTGATTTATGCTAGAAAAATAAGTTACTACTTTATTAATCTTATATGTTGTGAGTCACTAAAATTGTCTCTTTGTTTCTACTTTGGGTTAATATAAATTGTTAGTAATGTATGTAAGTTATTCTCCTCCAGTTGAGAGTTATATTCTAACATTATATGCTGGGTTTTTTTTCAGTTTCTACAACAATGAATGGAGAAAATGGGACATTAGTGACAGAATTTATTCTGCTGGGGATGCCATTTACCTATGAGTTTCAGGTCTTACTATTTATGGTCCTTTCCACCTGCTATGCAATTACTTTAGTTGGTAATGCAACAATAATTGTAGTTAGCCTGACCGATGCAAGACTTCACACACCAATGTACTTCTTTCTCAGTAACCTAGCCTTCCTGGACATTAGTTTTATATCTGCTATTGTCCCTAAAGTACTTTTTAATTTAATTAGTGGGAGCAAGACCATTTCTTTTTATGGGTGTCTTGCTCAGTCATATGTCTATTTTCTGTTGGGCACAACTGAGTTTCTGCTTCTGGCTATAATGTCTTTTGATCGCTATGTTGCTATTTGTCATCCTTTGCACTATGGCACTATCATGAAACCAAAATTCTGCCTAAAGCTAATTTTTTATTCTTGGCTAGGAGGCTTTATGGACACAATAGTCCAGACTGTCCTTACATTCCGCTTGCCATTTTGTGATTCAAATGTTATTAACCACTACTTTTGTGATGTGGCACCTTTGCTTAAATTAGCCTGTGGAAACACATATATTATTGGGATGTTAGACTTTATACTGGCTTCCTCTTTAGTCTTAGGATCGTTGTTCTTTTCCTTGGTCTCATATGGCTGCATTATCTCTGCTATAGTTAAAATTTCATCAGCTTTTGGACGAAAGAAGACATTCTCTACATGTGCATCCCACCTTACTGTAGTCTTCATTGTTTATGGCAGTTGTATCTTCATGTGTGTCCGTCCCTCTAAAAATTCTAAGGTGGATTCCACAAAAATTATTGCATTGTTGAACAGCATAGTGACACCACTTCTTAATCCTTTTATATATAGCTTTAGAAACAAGACCTTTAAAGAGGCACTTAAGCACACAGTAAAAAACAGAGCCCCGTTCCACAGCCAAAGTTTTAAACCATCTTAAAAATATAGGAGCACGTACTGTATATTCAGTTTTGGATAGAGTTGGGTTAAAAGCCCTGTTAATTTAGTTTGCTGTCTCTACCTTGATAGGGAGACTTCACTTAATGTCCCATCCTAGAGGCACAACAGGACATTCCCATTCTAGTTGTCTCTAAAACAAGTGCCCCCATTGAAAGATTTAGCCTCACCTCTTTTTCTGGTAATTCACAATGGTCATATAAAAAAAAGAGAGGGTGAAGCTATCTTGCAGCTGCACGGACACCAATAGCAAACCTGACAGGGGTTCTCATGCTTTTCACTCTATCCAAAACTAAAAAGGTTTTCACTATATAGCCACTTTAATTTAAATTTTTCATATAAATCTAAGATGAATAACATACTTCCATTACACAAGTCACAAGTCTTGTTGAAAGTATTACATTTATTATAACTGAATGTTCCATGAATATTATTCTCAAATATATTTCCCATAGTATGGAAAAAAAATCTGCTGAGGGCAAAAGATTAATTTTGTTTTGGCTAAGACTGTTTCCATCTAACACAACAATTTCACTAGAAAGAGAAGAAAAAGAGTAACTCAAACTGAAAAAAAAATGCTTTTTAGCAGGGTAAGGAATGTTAGAACCCCTTTTAGCTTTTTATTGTTGTCTGTGTCCCCATTACAGATTTCCCTTTGCCTGTCTGGTAAAACCAGTGTCACCGGGACCGTTAGTGAGGAGGAAATCTGTATAGCAAAGCCTTGAATAGCAGTAATAACCAAACAGGGGTTCTAATCCTTCCCCACTCGACCCCAAACAAAAAAAAAGGTTCTAGCTGGAGATACACTTTAAGATATGTTACTTTTACCAAGAATCTTGCACTGTCCTAGAACCTAGCCGCAATCCCTTTTTCCATTGTATAACAATTTCTATTTGAAAATTGTTGAAAAAGGATGAAACAATTTAAAAGGAACCGGTCAATACAGAAGTATGGAAGCAGCAATTTTATGAGTTGTTTTTGAATATGCAAGATGGACAATGGCAGCTCCCAAATCAAAAATACATGTTGATCATTGCAGAAATGGTCAGCTTGTAACTTCCTGTGCGCTTCACCTCTGCTGACTGTTACCAGTTAACATTGTTCCCACTTGCCAAACTGTTAACAGAACAATGCTCCTTTATGTTATGGAGAAAAGGAGAGGGGAGAGGTACTCTGAAGACCTAAAAACACCTAAACTCCTAGGGTGACATTCTGCTTCTCCATAGATAGATACAGTACAGTGAGTGAGTATTGTCCTCCTGGGACAGGAAGTGTTACTGCAAGGATCACCAGGTGAAAATGTAAAAAAAAAAAAGGATCTGAGAAAAGAAACTAGTAAAAGCACCACATATAGGAGAAACTGCAATATATTAAATTTTGCTTCTTGGTTTTAGATACACTGGTGATTTAGTGGTCCACCTAGCACAAATAAATAAACCCACCTGGCAAAATTATAACATGCACTAGACTTATTTTCATTCCTGAAAATGTTTTTACATATACCAGTCCCAAATGTTAAGGTACCATGATAATCTAGCTGCTGCGGGACATCAATGCACCCAGAACAACTATGCAACAAACCAGAGTGAAAACATTCACAGACAATCACAGAAGAATATCCAATTCTCAGTACGGCTTATGCTGATATCTAGTAGATTCTTTGTTGCACATTAAACCACACATATATCTGACCTTATGGGAGGCTAGCCAACATTCACTGTTCAATAAATGTGCATGTCGATTGCAAATGGCTTCTTCCCAAGCTATGATTTTGTTAATAGTAGTTGTGTGCTAACTGTACCCAATAAAGGATATGTAAAAAACTGAACTTCAGGCAAACAGCTAAATAGTTAGATGAAATACATATAGGGGAGCTGTTTCACCTGCTAAAAGATTTGTATGTATGCCTATTTAGTCCTGAAATGTATACAGCTCTGCCACACAGCACAGCTGTGCCTTACAGGGTAGAAGACTTGATTTTTTTTCTGCTGCACTTGAGTGTGCAGACAGATGAACTCATCTTTCTGTTATTCTGCTCTCTCCTCTTATCAGCATGTTCCTCTGTAGTAGGGATTAGTGATGGGTGAATGTGTGTGGGTTCAATTTGCAGAAGGTTGAGGGCCATATGCCCTCAACATGGGAAAGCACCTTGTCCCCATGTTGATGACAACAAGGGCCTCATCCCCACATACTGTCCCAAAGAGGATGTGGGTTGAGGGGGGGCTTATTGAAATCTGGATGCCCCCTTTATAATAAGAGGGCCCCAAGATAACTGAACAACCCTCCCCCGCCCCCCCCAGACACTGTAACTTAGAATTGTATTTTTTAAATGTCCCACACAGTAATTCCATCATCAATCATGTTGTCCCTTGATGCAGATCCAGCATGAATCACGCTAAAAAACACAGACGACCCGCTGACACAAACACTCTCTGTTTTTGCATTTTTCACCACAGCTGACAACTCTCCAACCGGCTGCTCAATGTCAACATGCTGGGCAGTGATGCTGCTCGATGTAATTGACCAAATCTGGTCCTGACCCTGGCCTGACATAATGCTGAATCTCCCAGCCAGCTTGTTTGAAATGAGCCAGCTGGCAGTGAGATCATTGGTTGCTGTGCATGGCTTGCTTACAGCATCAGAATCCTAATCTCATTTCAGTTTGAAAAATACTTTTTCTCTGGTTCTTTAGGTACCTGCTTTTTCATCAAAAGCTAATAGGTACGCTTTTATCAGCAATTTCCTGTTCTCATTGATGCAAAACTGTCTTGCTGCTGGCCAATTTCTATCAGACTCTCATTATAAATTAAGAGACCCCAGATTATGTAGGGCATGACCTGCTTCATTATCTCCAATACAACTTTCACCTCTCTTAGAACCAAAGAAAAAACACCATATACAGCCTATCATTACCTGTGCTACTGATTATGCCATATACCTACTTGAGTGCCCATGTGGCCTCCAGTATGTAGGGAGGACGACTCAGATGCTGAGAATGAGACTAGGACAACATAGGAGAAACATAGGGAAGTAATTCTTGAACATTCTGCAGTCACACACAACAATAACCTATTAGCTGCAGATTCACTCCACTAGACCATATCCCATCCACTAACACACATGACAGATTCCAAGCTAGAGAGTCTTTTTGGATATTCACCTTAAAAAATCCTTTTCTCAGGTGGTCTCAATGAAACTATAGAATCCTCCTACTAGCTTAAAGGGACATTCCACCTCTAAAAAAAAAATGAATGCATGCTTCTTTATTAAAGAAAAAAATGTGCATTTTATTTATTTTGCAGAGAAGCCAGTAAAGCATTTCGACTGCAAACAGTCCATTAAAACCTACCATCATTCTGGTCATTGATATAACCAGAAGGAGACTGGTAATTATACAGAAGATTACTCACTGCTTAACTTATTTATAACGTCCGCCTTTCTTGCAGGACAATACCTAAAGTCGATGAAGTCAGTTTGATTTTATTACAGGTATTTATATAGTACCAACAAATTATGCAGTACTTTACATACTGCACTTTCCCATCAGTCCCTACCCTCAAGGAGCTTTCAATCTAAGGTCCCTATCTCACATACACATACACACTAGGGCTGATTTAGACAGAAGCCAATAAACCTGCCAGTATGTCTTTGGAGTGTGGAAGAAACCAGGGCCGGCCTTAGGCCTTTAGGCGCCCTGTCCGAGAAAGCTTTACAGCGCCCCTCAGTGACCACACCCCTCAGTGGCCACACCCTTTAGTGACCACACCCCCAGTAACCACACCCATTTATCACCCATATTTTTGGTAAAATATAAAAAGACGGGGTCACGTCGGGTAAATAGACACCAAACATGTCATGCAAAACCTCACACCACCACGGAGAGATCAGGCAACCTACATGCAGATAGTGTCCTGACTAGGACTCAAACCAGGGATCCCAGGGCTGCATAGCAGAAGTCTTAGCTACTAAGCCTCTATGTTTATTTTAATTTTTAATTAGCATTATTTTTCACATATCATTTTGTGATCCAGTGTAGTATTGTATAATTCATGCTAATCATTTACTTTTCCTTGGATGAATATGCACTATTTACATGTCACTCATACCTATCACATTGCTGAATGATGCCCCCACTGACCTAAGTGAGGGTCTGTACAGAAATCTGTTACAGACTTTTTCCTTCAGTACACCTATATGACTAAAGGAGATGCAAAACTGTGTGCAGATCATCATTTTACTGTTTTTCTATATCCAATAATTTTTACTATATACAGTTGCCAGCACAAGTGTTAGTGTGTACCAATGATAGTTACATAGTCAGGTTGACAAAACACACCAGTTCAACCAATAGAAAAAAATTCAACCAATCAACATCATGTAACAACATGATCACATATACTGTAGTTCCTGCATTTTAGACAGTATACAAATTTAAGGCACTTTGTCTATTTGAATGTTTATTAGCAACGATCATTTTCCAAATACCGCAAGTGACTTCATTCAGTATGCCCCACCCACTGATACCACATGGAATGGACGGATGATGGTGTTTGAATACATGGGAGACTAATTGATTCCATTGAAGTAGACCAGAGAGGGGAATGGCCGGAATCTGGCAAGTATAGAGCGGTGTGCACTACAGAAAATCCCAGACCTTCTAAATTGTATGGAACTTCCAGGGTGTACATTTTTCCCTTGGAAATAGAATAATGAAGACTGAACCATATACGTAAGGCAGGAAAAAAATAATGATATGGTACAGCCCATGTATAACTTTGAGACTGCTAGTTACTCTATGTGGGCCACATATACTATATGTGTTGAACAAACTGGCTTTTGCTGCTCCATTATGCTTTATCCACTTTCTGCAATTGCTCTGATTTCATGGCTCGGCAGCTGAATGTTTCTAGAAAACATGAAGAAGAAACCTTGGTTAAAGAAAAGTGACCACTCTTGGATAAAAATACACTGTAGTGTTGGATG